TTTTTTTTTTTTGTTTTTTTTTTTTGTTTGTTTGTTTGTTTTTCTTTCCTCTCAGGGTTATGTTAATTATTTATTAGAAGTGGCAATGAAGTGAAGGATATCGAGTCTAGCTGAGAAAAAGACCAGGAGCTTGTTAATAAGTGCTGGATAGCCATAACAGAATTGGTTGTTAAATGTGTTGCTGTATTGCTGAGGTCACTAGAGAGCAGCGCTCTTGTTGCTTGTTTCCTTGACTCCCAAAACCCCTCAGGAAAATGTGTTTGGACAGAATCTGTGGGGACATTTTTCTTCTTTTTTTTTTTTTTCCCCCCCTGCTTTCCCCCATGGCTTATATGGCTTAGTTTGCCAATGTTCCAGTGGCTCTCAGGAATTCATCGCTCCCTCATTACAAGTTCAAATTGGCGTGTTTGATATGACCATCTAACTTTTCTTTTTTTCCCTGTGCGATTAAAAGAAAATTGCTCAGTCATTATGCATTGTGAAGCTCGCATGCATAGAAAGAGCCCCATTGTGTTTACATTACTTAACAAAATTTCTCAGCACACAGCTATAACAGTGGTGGTGGAAAAAATAAATACAATGCAGCAGTGCCTCTGTTTGACTGAGCAATAGCTCCCATTCAAAGCTGAACAAAGGTTCTCTGAACTGTCATTTAGGCTTTAGTAGAAGGGGAACAGGAGATGGAGGAGGCATTCTTACACCAGATGTGTAATGTGAGCTCACCTTTAGGTCTGCAAAGACTGGTCATTGTGGATATTGCCATAAATATCTCAAAGTGAAGGCACAGCTGGAAGCAAAGCTAGGTATTGCAAGTAGCGGGTGAGTTGGAGCGTTTTAACCTTTGTGTTTTGATAACTGTGCTGCGTCTACTGTACACAGCGTGGAGCGGTATGACCCTAGCAAGGATGCCTGGGAAATGGTAGCCCCCATGGCAGATAAGAGGATCAACTTCGGAGTAGGTGTGATGCTTGGATTTATATTTGTGGTGGGTGGACACAACGGAGTGTCGCACCTGTCCAGCATCGAGCGGTACGATCCACATCAAAACCAGTGGACGGCGTGCCGACCAATGAACGAACCCAGAACTGGTGAGTTTTGAGTTTTAAATTCAAAATGAGTGACTCTATTGTGATGGTTGGATCCAGAAAATAACACGAAAAGCCTATAATGAGAGATGTTTGTGGTATTGTTGTCTTCCAGGTGTGGGCTCTGCCATTGTGGACAACTACCTCTATGTGGTAGGAGGTCACTCTGGGTCATCCTACCTGAACACCGTTCAGCGTTATGATCCCATCTCAGACAGCTGGTTGGACTCCAGTGGCATGATGTACTGCCGTTGTAACTTTGGTCTGACTGCCCTTTGACCCATGGCCCAGCCAGCTAGGACCCAATAAATTACCTTAGACACAAAGAAGACTTTCTCTCTCTTTTTATTATTTTATTATTTTATTTTTTTGGCTCTCCTCCTCCTTCCCCACATTCATCCTCCAGGTGCAGATGAGCTTGCCTGCACATTTTCGTTAACATCAGAGAGCATTTCTGGGTGGATGGGTGTACCGGGCTAGCTGGCTGGCTAGAAGGGGGACTGCAGTCCGTGCTGCAGGGATGAGGAAGAGCTGGAAGGTTCTGGAGATAACGGAGGAAGGTGGATGGTGTTTGGATGACTGTCACTGGAAAACTGAGATGAACGCTCTATTGCTGCTGGACCACAATGAGGACTTCGAGCTATGTCTCAGAGGATTGTGGAATCTGCTTATTTACGTTACAAAATTCTTCGTCAAGTTTGCAGACAGTTTTATGTTGTGCTTCACGTCCTTAATTGTGCTAAAAAAAAATTTGTTTTGTTTTGTTTAGGAATTTTTCTGCTGCAACCAGAGCTGTGTGTTCAAATTTCCTAGAACACTGCAGTTTGCTTGTGCATTTGATGACTATGTGGTTATTGGCCATATAGTGTATATGTCTGTGTGTATGGTCCAGGGGGTATGTGCATGTCAAGATAGAACTGTTTTGTTTTGTCACATGTCTGCGTGCAGAACTGATGCTTGGGCTCAGCAACGCAGGATAATTCTGCATCCACATCAGTGCTTGACAAAAAATAGAAAAGTTGGAATATTTATATTTTCTCAAAAAAGGGCTGCCTTTCTCTTGTAAATGGTCTAAATGAAATATATAGATATAAATATATCCTCTAGTGCATTGCCTGTAAATGTTTTTCTGCACTGGCTCACTAATGTGTGTACAGTTTGATTCCCACAGCCACTGTAGAGGTGAATTCTCCTTAAAGTGTTCACCACTAGTCTCTGCTTCATCCTCTGAGCCATTTAAAAATGCAAAAGAAAAAAAAAAAAGGGTCTCATATTCTCTCCTCTGTTGCATCGGTCTAAGGTCAGATCATGCACTTGCTACTGTTCACAATAGTTGAAACTGACCTTGGCCTTCTTTTCACCTTTTTTGGTCTGTATACAATACTAACTGGTGCTATATTTAGGATTCAGGATTTAGCTGTTTGTCTGCGTTGCTTCATCCAGTTAATGTCAAACTCTGTTAGGCCTCTGCTGTGTAACTGGTGATAGTTATTTGCTATCGTATGAATTTAATTGGAGAAAATGCAAGTGGCCCCTAAAGCTACTAAAAGGGAAGCCTGTGGGCCAACAACTGCAAACTTCTACCTGCATAGTCCCCAAAGGCAAAAAGATTGGCATGATTTCTTTTCTTTTCTTTTTTTTTTTTTTTTTTTTTTTCCCAATTCTTTCAACTTTTTTTTTTTTAAATGTTACACTTTCTCCATTATTGGTCCAGTTGCAGGATGTGAACATGCTTTGTCAACTATCTGTAGCTGGTATCCTCTCTTGGCTTTGAACACGATTTTATTTGTGATTGGGTCAGACATTTCTGTGCTAGTTAATCCTCCTCTAAAAACATGTCTACACGTGGCCAGGTCTTGCTTACAAGCTTAGGTTTTAAGTAATATTTTCAGATTGGTGTGAAACGGCAAAAAGTTTGAAAAGGAAACGGTCCTACGCAACATCTTCCCTTGTGCCACATTTTTAAACATTTTCCCTGCATTCTTCCATGTGGTTATATATGGAGGTGGATGATAAGGCACCAAGGGCTGTGCTTGCCAGCTCTGGCCATGTTGTTGCTGTCACCAGGCCTGGGAGAGAGTTCAAAGCGTGCGACTGGGCTCGAGTGACTGCACAGCAATAGAGGGGACACTCACTAGCAGACGGCCAGGTAGTGATGCGTCTTAAGTCACTTGTTTTATGTTCAAGGCATGGGTTGTTGGTTGTGGGTTTTTTGCGTTGCTTTGTGGACTAATGTTTGCACATAAGTGAGAACTTTAACCAAGCTCTGCATTGCACTTACCAAACTATTTGATACATATTGTAATTTCTATATATGTTTTGATTTAAGCTAATGGCATTTAGATACCGCAATAAGACTTGTTTCCTTTCGTGGGTTAAATTATGTTTTGTTGTTTGTCTCTTTAAAAAGAAGAGAAAAAAATAGAATAAGGCCAAGGCATCTAATGTTGGTGTAAGAGAACCCCCACATAGCATGTCTGTCAGATCACACTGTTGGCTGGTGATGTCCAAATGAAACATCAGACTGTAGCTTGACATTGTCTAAACCAACCAGTCATCCTATGTTGTCATTTTTGTTGTGCATGCTGGTTCATTTTGCACAAAGCATGTGTTTATTTGGTTCAATTTAGATGAATTTTTTTCCTGCAGTTCAGCACTTATAAGTCTCGTAAACACTACATAGGTGTGTTCTTTCACCTTGCCCTTGTTTACTCTAAACTAAATCTGTAAGATGATAAGTTAAATGACATTTGCCGTGCAAACTGGTCAGTGTCACATGTGAGAATCGCGGTTTGTCATTGATTTTTCTTTTTTTCCCCATCAAAGTCAAGTACTTTGAATTTCTGATTTATTTGAAAAGTAACACACAACTTAATTTGTATGTCTGTACACTTTATTTCAAAACGGCACAACTATTAATTTTGTATTTAATTTGTTTTGTTTGTGTTCTCTAAATTCTTGTTGTTTTTGGTCTGTTGTAGTAGTGTTTGTCACTTTAGCACTGCAGCCACGGCACAGAATCACGCAGGCGTAATTGTGCGCCGTCGCCGCTGCCACGATTCATCTTGTCACTGTTATGTACAGATGTTGCCATTTCTGATGTGTATACTAACTATTTTAAGGTTGGAGAGAGGCTGATGAAAATCTGGAAACGTGAATCTGCAAAAAAAGAACAGATGTATGCTTTTTTTTTTTTTCTCTTTAAATTATGGCCTAAATTAATGTCATGTTCTGCCACCACTCTCACCAAAGTGCTTGTACAAAGAAAGCAGATGGATGACTAACACATGTTCTGCAGTGGCCTACCACTCTGTTTATGTCTGGGAGGGGGGGGGGGGGGAAATCCTATGAAACTGATGTCAATGTTAGCCAAAATGACCACTCTGCTTCTTTTTACATTTCCTTGTGTGTCTGGAGTAAGGTGATGATCTTGAATTTTATATCCTGTGGATTAATACTGGAAGTACAAGATAACATTAGGTGTTTAAAAACAGTAGCTTTTCACATTTTCTCATGTTTGACTGAAGACATTTTACATACATTTAAATCTGTTTATGTGGTGCAGCTGTACCCAGTTTAAAATAAATGCCTGCCTTAAAAAGGTACTGCCTGCTTTTTCTGCATCTCTTCCTGGCATGCACGTGAAAAAGGACGATAAACTGGAGCCATAGGCAAGGTTTCAAAAATATCTGTATTTGTATTGTAAAGACAGTGTCAGCATATAAATAAACAAACAGGGGAAAAAAAACCAACTTAAAATCTTGATCCAAGAATTAACTCTCAACTGGATTCATGTTAAACTTTCCTTGAGAGAGGCACTGTGTGACAACAGTAATGCTTTGACTTGAACCAAACAAAAATAACATTTTGAGACTGCTGTGTGCTGAACAAGCTGTGAAATGCCTGACTTTTATTCATCGGTTTATGCATGTGGCCTGAATGGATTTCTAGGCCAGCTTGTAGTGTAATTTCAGATTACTTCTAAATTGGCATAATTTTATATTTTCACCTGTTTTGGCAAATGCTTACCTCAAATTTAAACCATAACTTGTTCACCTGGTAGGCGGGGACTTAGTAGTTTTTCCTCACCCCACAGTGGGGGGGGGGGGAAGCACCAGTTTAATTTTAGGAAAGGACTGAAATGCATAAACATAAGCTTAAATTACAGTACTGCGTTGAATCCCTGTAGCAAGGGGGCTTACATTTATGTTTGTGCGCTGGTGTGTCTGCGTTGGGAATGAAATGGATCTGATCAGTGCAGGAACCAGAGAGGACTTGGGAATTGTACACAGACCTTTGGAACTATGAAGACAGGAAAAACTGTGTGTGTACATTAGCAGATTGTATATTTTCTTTGGCATAATGACCAAGTTTGATTCAATTGCACCCTCTGTGTCATTATGCTTGTGCTAAGTACTAACCAGTGGTTATTATGGAAAAGCACTGCCAAACAGATGCACAACAGCTGAGAGGTCTGCATCGCTGCATGCACGGCTGGCAGGAGAGTTTTGTAAATCAACCATGGAGGTAAAAAAAAAACCCCAATACTTTTTATACTTGTACTGAAAACTTGTGTCAGTATCAACTCCAAACAGAAATTTCTACAGCGCAGTTTTACCTACTAATCTCTTATGCCGACGGTCACTGCATATGTATATGAAATTCACTACTGACTCGTATTATTGTTTATAAATCTCAACCCTGGACTATTATAGTCCATTATATTCTTGGATTCCAAGCGTGCCCAAAAAGATGTCATTTCCATTTTGCACTGTAAGCTTTAACCAAGCATTCAGCTGAATTGAGGAAGCTAATCCAGGACAGGAATTAAAACTTATAGCAATGCAGTAAGAAAAGAACAACATTGTGGTAATGTAACAACAAAAAACTGGATGAATGCAATCACTCTGGCAAGTGCTGAGACTTTGGCTCATCTGTACTCTATGTCCAACTATGAGTTCACTTGTCAGAGGTGCGGACATAGACCAGAGAGGACAGCAGCAGGAGCTCTGGGGGCTTGTGTAACAAGATCAGATTATCGTTCCTCAGACCGTCATAGTGCATCCAGCAACCGTCTATCTGGAAGGCTGCAGAGTAGTGATGCTCCTCCTTGTTGAACAGTGTGGCACCCTCAAGTGTGTACCTGCAGGTAAGAAAAACATTTATTGTTCTCAATACTGGAAAGTAGATTTTTCCAGATTTTTTTGCTGCTCTTGATTTCCAATGAAAGAAATCCCAACAAATAAAGACAGGCAGCACAACAGTGCAGTGGAGAAGATCCAAATGACAGTTAAAATTTAATCACTGATCAGACAGGAAAGTTATCGGACATTTTTAATTTTAATGACCATCCTGCATCATAAATAAAGTTCCATTAATTCAGCTATGATGACTGCACAGGCCTCTGGCTCAGCAGATGTAAAAGCATTAGGAGGCCGGGCTCCACCTGAGCAACATGAAGGCTACACTGGCACATCGTTTGAATGAACAGCAATGCAGAACCTACTGTAGATATATCCACCTCTGATTCATACCTGTGCTGACAGAGAGCCAGATGGTAAGGGACATACGACAGCTCCTCTGACTTCCACTGCTGCATGTTGAGGATAACAAAGGGTGGCGGGCCATGGCAGAAAATCCTCTGGGAGAATTCCCTTAGACCATCACATCTGTTTAAAATAAATAAAAAAATTGTCAAGGAAGTACAACAACACAGCGCTGAAAAAGACGACGATGATGAAGATCCTGCCGTGTCTCACCCAATTTCACAGCAGAGCAGGAGCTTGGGGCAGAAGAACTCATCCACAGCTGACTGAATTGGGTCTCTGTGAGGAAGCTCGTGAGGAGGACTGAGAGGAAAAAGGGTCAGAGTGAAATTCTTAGAAATGTGATAAATATAATGTAACAACAATCCACTCACAAACACGTCACAACACTTGATTGCATTTCTTTCTGCCAACTTTGGCATAAGACGATGCACAGCTGAGGTCTGCTGAAGGGCACTTAAACATCAAATACTGGGGGAAAAAAACATATTTTGGGTAAAAAGCCAGCAACTGTGTCTTAACAAAACACTTGAATAGTAGGTAAATACAGTTTACCTGATGTTGATGGTACTTTTGAGGCAATCCTGGAAGCGGGCTGGACAGCTCCAGCTGGTGCACAGGCTCTCCTGCGTGGTGGACATGAGGTTTTCCAGGTTCTCTGTAAAGTTTTGGTGCTCGTTGCCAAACAGGTCGATCTCCAGGGCTGCCTGGTGGATCTCAGAGCGATATTGCCTTTTAGACATTCTGTCCCAGATCCACAGCATCTTCACCGTGGTGTAGTCACAGGAGTCCATCAGGTAGAGGAAATGCTCCACAAACTGCTTGCCCAGGAAGACAGCCAGCTCCCTGCGAAAGCCCTGGTTGTCCCGCAGAATCACATAAAGAATCATGAGGAAGCCATCGATGGTGCAGGTGTTTTTGAGCTGGATTTCCACGTACAGAGGCGTGCATGATATGGCTTTCCGTCCTGCCTTGATGGTAAAAACGCCTCCCCAAGGGAGCACAGGCCTCCAGAAGGAGCGGTCCTCCTCGTCGTTGTTGTTTATGGAGGCACGTATTTCTTCAAAAAGCGTCTTGGACCTAAAACAAATAATTAAATAAATAAATACACACAACCAGCAAAAGTTCAGACAAATGCGTTTTAACACAGGACGAGGTTAAATGTATCGCCCCGGTGGATTTGATCCGTTTCATTTCGAAAAACTGACGCTGTGCAAATGTAGGTCAAAAATCCTGCGATAGCAAAAGCAAACCACGCAATTGGCAAGTAAAGCACTGTTACCCTCCAGGGACTAGTCGGAGCCCGACAAATGATAACAAACCATCACCTCTAAGCTTACCTTTCGAAGTGTCGATTGTTCTCAGTGTTTGAAATTCGTGTTTTGAGGTCCTCAGTGTCGTTCAAAACACAGAATCTACTCTCCATTCCTCTCCGTATTTCCTCATTTCTCACGTCGGACCTCAAAGCCAGAAATATAAGTTGTGGTATTTGTCTCGCACCTTCTAGTAAACGAAGACACCTTACTGTGGATCGAAAATTGTAGTAGACGTCAAGTCTGACCTATATAAACAGTTGCTGTTAGCTTTGTAATGATATTAATCTAAGCTCTGTGTACATACAGTGCTGCCCTCTCCTGATTCTCCACGTTATTACACCCCAGTTTTGCACAGCCCCCGCCCCCGACTTCACCGTGAGCGTTAGAGCACAGCTAGAAGTGCTATTGGTCAATATATTCTAGCACGTTTAAGATGATATATGATTGGCTGTCACGAGCACCGCCCATTTAGGTAGGCCGAGCGAATATTCTACGTTGAACTACGTTGTTCTAGTTATCTTTGGCTATTATAATTTTAAAGACAAGGACAATGATGCTTTCTTCTTTATAAATTTGGTTTTATTTTTGGCAAATTTTCATATACACAAAAGCAAAGTCCTCGGCAGAAAGCCTGAACTTCTTGTATTAAAAATGGAACTTGCACAATATATAAGGACAATCTCCTCATCAAAAAACACTAAGGCTTTCAAGACTGTTAACATCTGTAACCGATTGAAACTGCTAACTTGATTTTGGCTCTTGCAAACTTTTGTTTATTTATGTTCCCCTTAATTTATTTTATTTTTTGTACTCACTTTTGTCTCACTGTCCTTATCACTCTTTCTGTTCTTCATTGTACTACCACAATGTCATCTTTTATGTGATCCCTGTTTTACTTGACTGTATGTCTAAAATGTGATAAATAAAGTTTTTAAAAAAAACTACGTTGTTCTATTCCTGAAAGTTAATACGCTGATATTCCACCGTAGGGTTGGTTTGTGGACGGAGTCTGCGCTGTTACCGTCGTTTCCCGACTCACTTTGAAGAAACCTTTTAGAAGTAGTTATTACCACTTGCGAGCCACGCTCCTCTACTTACAAGTCAGTGAGCGTGCAGACCAGCTACTACCGTCACCAGAAGAGCAGAGACCATCCCAGGGAAAGATGCTAGCTCAGATCATAAGCGGTAAAGAGGTTTCAGCGTAAGTATCAAACATTACCTTTACGAAAGCATAGGTAGCATGTGAATGTAATCAGCGTTGTGAAACATGTGACTGGCTAAAGAAGCTAACTAGCAAAGTTACAGTAACTTAACAGCTGGTGGTGTCTGATCTTACTCAAACGCTGTGCATCCTCTGAGGATTTTAAGTGCAATCTTATATATATGAAGTAAGCAGTCTGACGCCGTGAAGTGATTTCATAACTTAGTATAATCAACAGTTTTACTGTTAAATCAGTCGCATCGGGCCGCAGAGACTGTTTACAGTGCATATGCGTTGACTCTAAATTCAGCGGAAATCTGAGTAATTCACTTTCTTAACTGGTTAGGTTTGGTTATTCATAACTTCTGAATGCATCATTGCAAATCCTGGGGTGTTATGTAAGAAGCTGTGTCGTTGTGCTCTGATCTTTGTCCTATTGGTTCACTGACCTAATTTGAAGAAGAAAAATACAGTTTATACAGTCAGATATTCCAGGCAAACCCTTTTTTAAAATTATTATAATTTTTTAAAATCGAAAAACTTTGACCAGATCCAAGTAATGAGAATGAGTGGAAAAACGGCAAAAAGGCAAAATCTTTCTAACAGTAACACAAAAGACATCTAGCTGCATGTGCTTGTCACAAGATATAGCGGCCTGTATCTTGTTAAGACCGCCTCACAGTAGTTATTAGTCGATTATATTATGCAATACAAAGAGGCCATGCAGCCACAGAGCCGCTCTCCCCATGGGTCATCTTTATTCATTATCTCCAAAGTTCGACAGAAGCTGACATGCTTGACTGCACACTGTATGAATGACCTGTGTTTGTAGGAATATGAGCCCTGGTTGTTTAATGAGGAAAACTTGTACCAGTCACTGTTGAGATAAAGATCTGTTATGGTACAATACTCAGTGTTGTGATTGCCTTTTCTAATTACTGCAAAGATCCCCAGGGTCACTCTGCTGGTAGATAAATAAAAAGCAAACAAGGTCATATGCAAAATACTGTACCTAAGTAACATTTAATTACCCTGTTTTATATGCATATTGTATATAATTTGTGCTATATGTTTGGAAAACATTTTCTGCACACATTATTGCATCTTGAAAAAAAAGGGGGGGGGGTACATAAATCTTAAGGTTAAGGAGTTTCTCTTGAGACTAAGTTTAGTTGAACTGTGTCTCAAATCAGTGCCAAAATGTATTTCATCACCACTCCTGTTACAGCTCACATGATGCACATCTGTTACCTACTTTCTTTAGAACTTTGGGTTCTTTTCTTTGTTTCATTTGCATCCACAATATGTTAAACCAAACACTTTTGTGTGCAATCAGGATTTTGGGTTTAGACACAAAAGCAATGACCACAAAGTTCAGTTAACGCAATCACTGTTTTCTCGCTTGTCTTTGATTGGTTCAGCTGATTGTATTCAACCTTTATCTGTTCTGGCTTATCTCTTCTCTACGCAAAAAATAGTGCCCTGTTTTCTAGTCTCCAGAACATTAAATCAATAAAGATAAAATGAAGACAACAACTGAAGATAAGCACGCTTTTCTGAGTGATTGTCCGGAATGATAGTTTGAGTTTGGAAAATGACTCACAATGAGATCATCAGATGGCATTGATCTGGTGCATAAATTTGTCACTGTTTTAATTAAACGGTACAGATTGGGTCACATGATACTGCTAACTCTTTTTTTGTGTTATTGCACAAATTAAATTGGCTGTATTTTGTTTTCTCAGGCAGGTGAGGGAGCGTCTGAAGAAGGATGTCGAGCAGTTGAAACTTAAGAATCCCAACTTCAGGCCTGGTCTAGTGGTTTTACAGGTAAGTTTATGATGGAATTCTTTGTGGTTGAAGGCTAAAAGCCTTTTTCCCCTAAAAACATTTCTACCCATGCTTTCATTTGGCCTTTCGTTAGAGAGAGCACCTGGCAGGTAAGGGTCAGGGTATCTGTGTGCAGTGGCACACAGATACCCTGTGTGTGCACATGAGGATTCTGACATTTATGCTGGTGCTTTGTCTGTGTGACATAGTTCCTGTTCTGTCATAGAAATATGCAGGGGGATAAGCAGTATGTGTCTTTCAGGTTGGAGACCGCGATGATTCAAATCTGTACATCAGCATGAAGCTCAAAGCAGCAGCAGAGGTAAAGAAAATAATTTTTTGATACTGAAGGGATTTTTGCACCGCGTGTGTACACTGCATATTGTTTCAATGAGCCACAGCTCTAACCCTAAGCTGCATTTTTGTGTGCAGATTGGAATAAATGCAATGCATTTGAGACTTCCCGCGACCGCAACAGAGGAGGAGGTGAGTTAGAATCATTACTGGAGGCTTGTTTATTTAGTTGTCGGGTTGCACACACCTGCACAGCAACTCCAGGATTAGACTATTTATGGACACCTGGGGGAGTAGTTGTTCCTGCCATACTATTTCCTATGGTTTCTTGAAGCAAAAACAAATTGTCGAAAGAATCGCATAATTTTTTTTGTTGTGTTCACTAAAGTCTTTGAGTGCTTAAAACTCACAATAATTGACAGATTTTCAGCACAGAGACATATGGGTGAAATTTGAGCTTTCAGGCTTTTCTTGATTTAGCAATACAGGGGCTGTGCGGGAATGCAGTACATGACAAGCCTGAAAGCAATAAAGGGTTTTAAGGCTTCCTACCTGCTTTCAGATTCTTCACAGTATCACAGAGGTGAACAAGAACTCTTCTGTCCACGGTCTCATCGTTCAGCTGCCTTTAGATTCAGTCCATGAAATCGACACAGAGAAGGTCACGAACTCCGTGGCCCCAGAGAAGGACGTAGATGGGTAAGAACAGCAACACAGAAAAGTGTGATCATTTCAGAGTTACAGCAAGTACTTTTTTTAGTTTACAGAAGCAAAATAACTGTTGTGCTCATAAACAGTAATTAAATTTGTCCAACAAGCAGATGCATTGTAATAAACTTAAGCCTTTAAAAATACATTAAAGAGATTGGTTGTCCCACCATCATGAATACAGTGGCTGAGATGGTCAATGTGGTTCTGTCTAATCTCGTCTTACGTATGTGGTTATAGGCTACACACGAACTACACGAAAAGCGGAGATGTTCATGTGCCATGGAGGCAAATTTTTATTGTCTGTACCTTCAAACCCAAGATATGAAGTATCATACCTATTTTATATGATCTGCGAAGGGGTCCCCTCCACCCAACAAAACAGAAAGCTGCAAGACAAACCCTTTGGATAAAATGTCATCCTCTTCTTATTCACCTCACGCCTCATCTCCTGAACAGATGTCAGGCCTGTAAAACATGCAGAGGTTTATAAAATTCTTATTTATTCCTGATAGTGTTAGGAATACTTATTCTCAGCAGATTACACATGTGACACTCCTGTCTCCGGACAGTTGACAACGAGACAGCTAAGCAAAAACAGCTAAGCACAAACGAACATTATGCCAACTAAGGTAGGTTTGATTATCTTAAAAATTCCACTTTCCCTCTGGTAAACGGTGTGATTACGTTCTCACATCGTATGATAGTTTGAATGCAACAATGTTCAGTCTTCAGAGAAAGTTTCACTAACAGCAGCAAACAGCAGTGTTGCAACCCCAACAGCTCGCCTCACTGAGCCTTATTGACTTGTATCGAACTCCTTTCACAAAGTTTTACAGCCTCTTCTTGATTAAATAGCACATATTTAGAGCTGAGGGAAACTGCAAACTAACAACTCGCTGCAGAGGAAAAGTTTGTCCACAGTTGTTTGTCCTACAGTGGCCACCGTAGCTATAGTATACACTGTATTATAGCAGTGATATTGAACACACTGTACCTTTAAAAAGCTTTCAGATTGATGGGTATCTTCAGGTTACAGTGATTTGTACATTCTTGTGTGTTTACAGACTGACCAGCATAAATGCGGGGAAGCTGTCCCGTGGGGATCTGGGCAACTGCCTCATCCCCTGCACGCCAAATGGCTGCATGGAGTTAATCAAACAGACGGGTAAACAAAATCTCTAATAACCCTGAAAAACTGCAGTCAGTTACAATGATGTTACAATGTGTAAATATATCAAAAGTAACAACAATCTGTTTATGACGCTTCTCTACAGGCGTTTCTGTGGCAGGGAAGAGAGCGGTCGTGATTGGGCGCAGTAAGATTGTGGGCGCACCCATGCATGATTTGCTGCTGTGGAATCACGCCACCGTCACCACCTGCCACTCTAAAACCGTCGATCTTGCCGCAGAGGTAACACAGAGAAACACAAGTGTCATTAGGCTTTTTTGAGACACACAGAGGTATAAACAACAGCACAGTAGGCAGATAAAGAGCAGCTGTTTGAAGCAGCCGATTCTTAATACTGACGTTCTCATTTGATCTTAGCTGGCAAATGAAACTTTTTCACAACTTGTTATATGAGGAGCCTAATTAAATATTTTAGTCTGTTAACTATGGGCAGAAATCTGTGCCATCAGAAACTGAATTTGAATAAGTTCAATTTGAATTTGAATTGCTCAGATTGAATCTGAATTGTAACTTGAATAAATGCTTTTGAAAACTGAATTTGAATTAGTCTAATTTGAAATTGAATTTATGGTTTGAAAATGACGCACAGCAAGAAGGTCCTGAGTTCAATTCCAACATCAGGCCGGGGTCTTTCTGTGTGGAGTTTGCATGTTCTCCCCGTGTTTGCGTGGGTTCTCTCCGGGTACTCCGGCTTCCTCCCACCGTCCAAAGACATGCAGCTTGTGGGGATAGGTTAATTGGACAATCCAAATTGTCACTAGGAGTGAATGTGAGTGTGAATGGTTGTTTGTCCCTGTGTGTTAGCCCTGCGACAGACTGGCGACCTGTCCAGGGTGGCCCCCGCCTCTCGCCCTATGACAGCTGGGATAGGCTCCAGCGACCCCCGCGACCCTGAAAGGACAAGCGGAAGCGAATGGATGGATGGATGGATGGTTTGAAAATGATCATCACTAAATTGAAATTGAATTTATGGTTTGAAAATGAATTGATTTGCTTTGAAACTGCATTTTATCCTTTAAAAATTCAGCTCTCGAATAATTTCAGTTTCAGTTCCAAAATTCAGTTTTTTGGAACTTACATCCGGTTCCGGTTCAAGCGCAGATTAATAGAACTACGTTTTACTAGCGGACCAATTTAGTGATGATCATTTTCAAACCATAAATTCAATTTCAAATTAGACTAATTCAAATTCAGTTTTCAAAAGCATTTATTCAAGTTACAATTCAGATTCAAATTGAACTTATTCAAATTCAGTTTCTGATGGCACAGATTTCTGCCCATAGTTAACTGCCCCAATTATTCTAACTTAACAGTTTATGACATCATAGGAACCACAGATCTCTACTGCCTGCAGTATAAACACTAATTCACGTGTTCCCTTATTTATTCCTCTAGCATCATTGCTTAAAATCCAGTTTCTTCATTTATAAACATTCATCGTTTATCCCTCCCTGTTTCTGTCTAGGTGGGTAGAGCAGACATCCTGGTTGTTGGTATTGGAAAAGCAGAGATGGTAAAAGGAGAGTGGATCAAGAAAGGAGCAGTGGTCATTGACTGTGGCATCAACCACGTTATAGGTATTAATGCGGTCATGGTGCATTGTATTTCCTTTTGAGATAATCAGCAGATGCATGAGTCAACTGGGGTCTCTTTTTCAGATGAGACTAAATCCAGCGGAAAGCGTGTTGTGGGCGACGTCCATTTTCAATCAGCCAAAGAACAGGCCGGCTTCATCACCCCTGTGCCTGGTGGAGTGGGACCTATGACTGTGGCCATGCTGATGGCGGTAAGGCCCATTCGGACACCTGAGAGTTGATCAAGTTTAATTAAGAGTTTGATTTTTTTTTTTTCAAACTTTTCTTTCTTTTGTTTTCTTATCACGTTTACTTGTTTAGAACACCGTGCTGAGTGCAAAGCGCTTCCTGGAGAGCCATCAGGCAGGAAAGTGGAACATTTCTTACACCAGACTCAATCTCCGAAAGCCAGTGCCAAGGTTTGCCTCCTTATCATAATCATAACCATGCTGTTCATTAACTTGATGCAGAAGCCCAATCCTCGCTGTCTTGCTGAAGAAGCTAATTTTCTTTTTCCCTTTTGTTATCCCACAGTGACATAGTGATTTCTCGCTCCTGCGCAGCCAAGTCCATTGACAGTCTGGCCAGAGAAGTGGGATTGTTTTCTGATGAAGTAGAGCTCTATGGCAAGACTAAGGCAAAGGTCCAGCTGACTATCATCAAGCGCCTTCAGTCCCTGCCAGATGGAAAATATGTAGTGGTCACTGGGTATGTTAAATAAAAGTGCAGACTGTAGACAAAATCTTATTTCAAGATACTGAAGTTCTCAGTTTGTGGAAGTAGAAGTTATTCAAATTGGCAGACTGTTTCCATCTGTAGTTCAAAAATCCCCAAGTTAACTAAAGCTATCAGCAGAATGTTAAGAGAGAAACACTTTCTTAACATTTCTCAACACAGATTTTTTGGCTTGTTGTCCTAAAAATCACTTTAAGAGAGATCTGGGGTCCGTTCTTCGTACCTCCAAGATCAAATCATCGCGCCAACTTTGAGCTCGCTATTCCGGTTCTCCGAACACACCTGTTGTTGACGATTAGTACAGCTGGATGAAGTAATGTGAGATCACTGGGTGGCTTAACAGGGGCTACGCATCGATAGTAGAAACATTGATCGGCAACCCTCTGATTGGTCAGCGAAAATGTCGAAGGAGCGCGCTCAGTGTTTTTCGGCAGCAGAGCAAGAACTCTTGAGTGAGGGATTTCAGGAGTTTCAGAGTTTAAT